GAGGCCACTTAAGTAATTTTATTGACTTGCGTGTAATGTTAAGATATTTTTTAGAAAAAAATTAAGCGTAGTCTTTAGCCATGGTTAACTGAATCAACACGTCTTCCATCAAAGAGTCCCAGTTTTCACTTGCCAACTAGTTTGAGATCATCAAAACTCTTTCTGATAACTTCCATAGGTGGGTGTCCCCACTGAAATTTTTCAATAAGAGCGAACTTGCATTTCTCAGTTAGGGTTGAAATTTTTAAATCAGAGAAAAAAGGAGTGTGCTTTTCCAGCTTTCCTACTTGCCTTAACAAAAGAGCAATCACTTGTACTATCACGACAATCCTTATAGCTTAAGGGGAAGACAACGCTAGATTCCACCAGATAATTACCCACCATGTGGGCAAATGAGCCTTTGCCGGGTTCAACCAAAAGAGAGAGCGCTATCAAAGCAGGGAGATAGTCCACTTGCTACGACGTTTCGATATAAGTGCAGTCGACGAATCGCGACGTCAAACCACATAAAGCGAGCTAGAGAATGAATTCTTCAGCCTGCAGATGACGAAGCCGAAGGCCAAAAGATGCACCAGAAACGCAAGCTCTTTAATTCTGCTTCAAGCACGAGACACGACAAACGTCTATGCCCAGAAACCGCCCTTCAACACGCGGCGAGAAGTACGAAGGACGACGGATCAGGCCCAACACGACAACGCTCTCCAAAACAGACGAAGCACTAAATAGGATGACAGAAGACGAAACAATATATATATGGATAAAACATTTCATTCCGCTCTGCTAGGGTTCTGCCTTATGGCGAACCCTAGCGTCTCACATTGCTTTCGGCTTCAGGATTTACTCGTGTCGCGTAGGCTTTCGTTGACTGCTTCCATTCACGTCGTCTCGCATTGCGTTCACATCTCGTCTGGTGGCAGAGTTGCTCGACACCTACGTCCTGCTTCTGCCCACGTCTCGTCTATGATAGAGTTGCTCGACACCTGCATGCTGCTTCTGCCTGCTTCTCGTCTGCTCGACTCTGCCTCTAGTGTTTGCGACAAAGCCGCTCGACACCACTATTCATGCAGCTTCTCACTGGCTGCAGGTTGACACTGGTTGCGGTAATGGCCTTAGGGATTTCCTACGCCTCGTCGGTGAAAACCCAGCCAAACCCTCCTATGTTACAGTGGTTCAAAAACACAACTCTCTTTTTCACCTCGCAGATAGTGCAGTATTCCCACAGATTTACCATAATTCGGTTGCAGGAAATGACGATTGTAATTTCATAAAAAAAGTAGCAAAAAAGGCGGGCAAACCAGCAATTTTCTTCTTTGATGCTGAAATTTTAACTCGTGCGGGAAAATACAAATTTATACTTGTTGGAAAGGTCCAATTATGTTGCCCTAAGATGGAGATCATCAGGAAGATTTTTGAAGATTTCAAACTGGTGGGAGATTGGCAGGTGAGTCATTTCGACGGAAGACATCTTATGATACAGCTGAGCACAGAAGATGATCACACGAAGATTTTTTCAAAAAAATTCTTCACATTTGAGGGCAAACATATGAAATGGCTCAAATGGACCCCTAATTTTGATCCTAGCCAAGAACTCCCAATTGCCCCTATTTGGTTCTCATTATCTGAACTCAAGTTTGATTTCTTTGACCTACCTATCTTATATGCAATTGAGATTATCTTTGGAAAACCTTTGCAGGTAGACTTACCTACAGTTCATTTCTCAATGTCCTCTATTGCAAGTATGTCCTCTATTGCAAGTCTATTGCAAGTATTTTGATTGAACAAGATATTACACTACTATATGTAGCAGAAGTCTAGCTTGGATCTGCTCACAATGGTTATTTGCAAAAAATCATTATGGGACAAAAACCTTACTACTGCAAACAATTTGGACACCCTCAAGTGAAATGTTTCAGATTGCACCCACAGTTGAGAACCAATATTCAAATCCAAGAACGTGTTAGTGCACCCCACGTGCCTGAATGCGCTCCCAACAAACCTGATGACAGCCAACATAAGGAGGGAATCAGCACTAAGACATGAGTCGGTGTCTGCCCTTGGGATCCCTTCTCCTCACCATACTACAACTGATAATGTTCGAACTGAAAATCAGGATAGTCCACAGCTCCTATTCAAGAAGCATCATGTGCAGAGTTAACAATTCACACTTCACATACACTGGAACCTATCGCGGTGACAATGACTGCCTTTCCTCTTTCTGCGGTTCTAGCATCAAGTCAGATCGAGGATCACTTGAGCCAGTTTTCAGATGAAGAATGACATGTTTACACTTCTTTGGGGAAGAAGAAGGCTGAGGCACACTCCAACTTGGAAACATAATGGATGAGACTTTGGTAACTCCTGACAATGACACGACTCTTCAAAGTTTGTAATCTGGTTCCGCTCCTAAACTAGAGGAAAACGCAGGACTAAACTGACTCGTCCCTAGTTACTTGTTTTTTGCATGTTTTAAATTTCTTTTACATTTTATTGAGTATATTTGTATCTTTTTGTTGGGGTTTTCCTATACTTGTATCGTATGGGTATGGTCCCTCTTTTGGGCCCTTCTCACACAACCTTTATGTATCCTTTTCTATTTCAATAAAAAAAAGTTTCTTTTTTCCTATATATATGATCTTTTCTAAATGGAGATACTCATTCTTTTATAAGCATTTACTTTACTTTATACTTTACTAACATACATACTTCTCTGTTTTGGAATTATTCATCATACATATCTTTTCTACTTGTCTATCTTATATATATTGTTTATCTAAATATCATTGATCTCAGACATCTCTCTTATTTATATCTCTTACTTATATTATGCATATTTTTTCTTACATATTTATCTTTTATGGCTATCTTACATATAATGTCTATTTAAATATCATTCATTTCTTACATATCTTTAATTATTGTACATCTTTTTTTATTATGCTTATTGTGCATATCTTTTTTATCTAATAATATAAATGATATGATTAAAGTTGGGTATATATGTAGCCAAACATACAAACTGAAGTAAAAAAGATTATTAAAATTTAAACATGCAATTACTCACCTCAGTTGTTACTCTAAACTCTTAATCTTGGACAATTAGCTGGAGATTGCAGTGACTTTTCTTTTGAGCTCAATAATCTATAAAACATAGTATTTAAATTTTTAAGATTTAAACAAATCGATTAATCGAATTAATTTTCTTAGCTTAGGTTTAATTTACCTGAATTTTAATGGAGTCGACCTACGACGATCTTTTGCGCACTCGACTCAAACTCGCCACCTCACATAACCAACTCTGAAATCTTAAACGAGTTAAGAATTCATAATATATTAGTTCATTAGGTAATTAGCTTAACATGATATTGATTTGCCGAAACATAACTTAAACAATCTGAGGTGAGTAATTGGCTTCCCTGAATCCCTAAGTTACTTGCTTGACACTGCCGCTCTGGCTTCTATTACGATTGTGAAGGCCAATATTGGGTGGATATATGACCTGACAGGGCGATTGTCCTGTGATAGCCTTAACTAACTTTCTATACTGTGCATGCAATGGTTTATTTATTGAAGGTGTTTTTGTGGCTGGGCTGGAAGCCCATTCAAGTCATTATGGTCCTGTCCAAGATATTTTTTTTGCAGGTGCCTCATTTCTTGCTGCCCTTGGTTTCTTCATTACAGTGAAAAGTTTTTTCTTGATGTTGCAGCACCTTCTCATCGAATCGAAAGGAAGACGCAAGAAATTTCATGAAGTTGGATATGTGACAATTATATGTTTTAGTTGTTTCTTTATTAGATGCATCTTGATGTGCTTCAATGCAAAACCTCCTCCGAAACTTTTCTTGCAACAGACCCTTTCTTCGAAGCCTTTTCTGTAGCTCCTCAGGAAATTTCATTGCATCAAGCTCTCATCTAGAGCTTTTTCTGTAGCAGATCCTCCTCCAGAGACTTTTTCTATATCAGGCCATTCTCCGAAATTTTATCTTATATCTGGTCCTCAAAACTTTTACTGCAGCAGACCACCTGAATTCTTTCTCCACCACGTCCTCCTATGGAGCCTTTTACTTCAACAAGGCTCATCTCTTGAGTTGTTTTTTTCTGCAGGCCATACTCTGCAGCTTTTTCTGTTGGCTGTCTACATCTCTGCAAACTTCCCTGCAACATTACCTGTAGATGCCTTCCATTTACCTAAAGACATTATAGGAACTGCAGTAAAAAACTAATTACAGTTGTCTACTTCCCTGCAACATTACTTGTTGGAGTATTCCGCCTTCCTATAGATGCTGCAGGAACTACAGCCAAAGTCAACCGCAATGTGAGGGAAAGACTTCAAGTTCTATCTCTCAGGATTTTTCTCGCCCATTGTTTGAAGTTTTCAAATCCAAATTGAACATGGTTTTCAACTATGTTTCAATTTGAGGGGGGTTGTTAGGAGATATACTAGGAAATAATTTATTCCTGCGAGAAATTATGACGAATAAATGATTTCCTTGAATTAAACAGTTATTTCCTTTCCTTTTTTATATTTATTTCTTTGGACTATGTCTTCCTGTTTTAGGCTTTCCTAATTTATGTAATTTTCTTTATATCTAAATAACTAATATGATTTAATTATTTGAGATATTAGGTGATATATCTTTCATGGATAGATTGCATCCTTAGAGAATGTTATAATAGGGTGAACTTCATTCTTTCCGAACATAAACATGCAATCTAATATATATATACACGCATACATACATATGTACATAAATAATATTTTTATTTTTTTGGTCAAACATATCAATTATATCATGTACTTATGAGAAAATCATATGAGAAGTGCTGATAATTATTTTTTTATTGAGTTAATTTATAGTTTGTTTATTATTTAATAATTTTTCCACCAAACTTTCATTCTAATTTTTTCTGGATGTTTAGATGTCTAGGGCTCAAATAATGTTTAGCCTGAATGAAAATTTATTGGTTCCGCCTTTTATACTAACAATAGATTCTCTGAACAGTTCTTCGTGGTAAAGTGATGCGAGATGTGGGTGTTGAAATTGTGGGACAAGGCGCCCTAAAAGTCACAGGATTTCTCAGAGAGCTAATGCAGGAGAGGAACATGGCCTTTGAGTCTTTATACACTGTTCGAACTCTAAAGGAGGTATTTTTTTTTAATTTATTTATTAGCTTTTTCACATCCAACCTTCTATCGATGCTAAAATTTTACTGACGGACCAATAATTGTTCACAATTTCATGGAGACATTTTTTCAAAATTTTGAGACTTCATTCTTGCCTATATTCTTTCATGAATTTACAGAAACTGTGCTATGTTGCTGCTGATTATGATGCAGAGCTACGAAAAGATAATGCAGCATCATTTGAGGTGGCAGGTGAAGGTTGGTTCACTTTATCGAAGGAGCGCTTCCAAGCTACTGAGATTCTATTCCAGCCAAATATTGGAGGCGTGTAAGATGTTATTTCCTGAAAATTTATAAGGAATTACTAAACCTATTGCAACTTCCATACCTCAGGTGGATTATAGCAAAAAAAATCCTTTCTTTGTTTTTGTAATTTTCCTATGGATTTATACTTTGAGAGTTGCCTGGAACTATGTTCAAGTTGTTTTCATTACAATATGGAGTTCCCCGGTTCAAATAACGGAAATGTACTCTTCCGAATGAAGGGATAAGGCTAAATGCTTCATCCCCTCCGTAGCATCTCCTTTGGTTGGAGCCTCATGTATTGTTTACTGATATATATGATTTCAATGATTTGTTTTCTTGATAAAATTCCTTGTTTTTTAGAGTAGTTGTTGATTTTGAAAGAAAATAAGGAGTTGGTTGAGCCACATGGTTTGTAACACCAATTATTGCATATTTCCATAAATCTCATACAAGTGCTATTTATAGTACTACCCAAATATTAAATAGCAGAATGGAACACCAATTTTTGTTCTCTATGATTTACTGAGTTTTCATCGATTTGATAGTATCATGCAAATGATTTTCTACAATAGTTCATTTTAAACACTTGGGTTGTTGATTTTGTATCATGCAAATGGTTGTTGTCGATATTGATGGAATGATAAAAGTATGTAAAAGTTTTTACTTATTTAACAAGTTATTTTGCCGAGTTAGAACAACCCGAACGGGTACTCACAGTTTTCATGCATTTATATACCTTTGAAACCGAGAAATTTAATGATGAGACGATGAAATCGTGTGAACCGAGAGGGAGTGAAGGGGATAGGCAGCAAAGCCCTGCGTATTTCTGTGAGTCCTAACACGGAGTGAACGAGGAGCTTGTGAAGTAGAGAGGGCTTCGGGTGAAGTCTTGTGGGGGCAGTTTCTAACAGGGTTCTGGGGATGTGAGTGACTAGGTCGGATTGCACAAGAACCACTGTAGGGAGGGACTTGCTCATTTGCAGAACTGCCGACATGTGAACCTGTGGGCTGTTTGGGATGATCGGAAGTGGGAGTTCAATTGGAGGAATAGTTCACCAACGAGTAGGCCAAGCTAGAAGGGCTTCTATAGTGTGAGCGAGTGGAGACATGCGTAGGGCTGTTGTGCGGTTAGCTGCAATCGAGAAGATGAAATGGAGATTGGGCTTCATGTCGGTGAGTAAACGAAAAGGGGTAGAACAAAGGTTATATGGGAATGAGATGTATCGATCGGGCAGTTTGTGGGACTTGGGATGAAATAGTCGATGATTTTAAATTCCTTTTTATTTCTTTTCTGCGATCAACATATTAGTTTCTTAGGGGGAATAAGATTAAAGGAGGTGGAAGTGGTAACTGTCACACCTTAACTAGCCCACCTTTCAAGGTCGGCTGAGGTGCGACAGAGACGGACAATTCGATCAGACTAAGTTCTCATCAATACTCATCATGTTTTGCATAATCAGGACCCAATAGATGATGAATTTGTCTAACTAAATCACCGTAAACATATTTGATGTATTTCATTTCATTTTTTTTACACATACTTGAAAGCGTAGAAAATCATATCATCAAAACATATAAATTATATAGATCTGTTAAATATAAGATAAATAAAAAGCACATCTTCAAAAGTTTGTACATCTCCGAAAATTATGAAATGCAAAAGCTGACAAGTCATACTTGATTACTCGCACCGGTGCTTCTTTCCACTTCCTGAAAGGCAAGAACGTAGAGTAAAGTGACGAGCTCAACAAACTAATCAAGCTAAAATAAGATTTTATACACAAAATAGAGAACATGTATGCTCGTATGTCGATACATGTCCACACACGAGTCATAACATGATAAAATCATATAGAACATGTAAAATAAACATGTAGTGTAAATAAATCATGATTGTTGTATAAAATATATTTATCATTTCATTCGTGTGTAGCCATGAATATGTATTCATAAGCATGTTCATAATCATAGCAATGTCATCATAACCGTATAATCATAACATCATAGCAATGTCACTTGTGCAATGTAACGCTTCAACTATTTTCATGTCCTGTCATATGATGAGTCGGTACTCTGTCCCAAATGTAGGTTTCTCCCTCAATATAACAATTATCAATAGTCCCTCTGATACCAATGGTTCTCTACATTTTGTCATGGCTTTGATCATAACAATTCCCAGAATTTTGTCACCGTCTGAGCACCAGGAGTTGGGAATACAACATCCTTGCATGGTGTACTCACAAACTCATGTAATAGTCTGCCCATAATATCGTTTATAACATTTAAATCATCATTCTTGCATCAAACATTTGTCACAGGCCTTTCATATATATTGTGCATCAAATCATAGTAAATGAATATTTGGAAAGAATGATTTTATCAATATAGCATATTCATTTGTATCATAGCATAACATAACATATCATCATATGTATTGTAAGCGAATTCAGCTTACATTTATACATTCAATGCAAGTTTCCATCCACAATATGCCAGAAATTTTAAATGCATTAGTGTCAAACGTGAAATCGCATGGAAATCTATAGGCAATTATTTTTCTTTAAGTTAACACAGGATTATGTAGAAATTTTAAAGGCAATTATTTTTCTTTAAGTTAACACAGGATTATTTCACCTAACTAAACAAAACACCCCTACTACGAGTTCTCACACGTTCGCTTCGAGCTCACCACTTCGCATAAGCAACCTCAAAAGGGCTCATTGGCATAAATTCGTCCTTCTGACATCTCTTATTCTTTTTCCCTTTTCTTCTCCTATTCTCTCAATACCCTTTCCTTCCTTGATTTCGCGCTGGAATCTCTCACAAAAGCCCACAAACCAAGTCTGACGCTTCTAACGTAAATTCGTCTCCTGGTACGAGTGCTGAAAACAAAAATTGCATAAATTAGTGCAAAAGTGAAAACAATAATAGGTGGAAGGAAATGAATGTCTAAAATAGAGCCAAAGAGGGATTCATTCTCCCTAATTTCTTTCCTGAAGCTTTGAATCGCAGCCTACAACATCTAGATTTCCACTCGTCTGTCTGCTATAGTGTAGGATCTCACAGAGCTCGTGGGATACCTCTAGTTGAGCAAAACTGAACCGGGAGGGAAAAAATAAGGAAATGCGACATTTTATCTCACCCTCTTTTCCCATAGTTGTTCGATCCCGTCAGGCCGCTGCTTGTGCAAGGAAGTCCGTGAGTTGGTTGGCTACAGTGCATGATACTGAACATGGGATATTAGGAAAGGAGATTAAGATTTAATGAAGGTAATTATAATTGTAACTTTAAAATTTAATTTCTCCCAATCCAAACATAATTAATCTATATTGTTTTATATCAAATTGATAGATTTCATGCGTAGAATTTTATAAAAATAATTTGATTGAACTTTGAGGGGGTGTGAAATTTGGGTACAGTTAAAATTGTCAAAAAAAATTAGCTGCTTTTTCGAACTTGGATGTTACACTGCTCCCCTTATAGGAATTTTATCCTCAAAATTTCTGACTTTACTTGAAGAGACGGATATTTCTGATGCATTTTTTCTTCTATTTTCCTTGTGGCTTCCTTTTCAGGCTTGTGCTTCCACTTTATCTTGACAAAAGAAATTAGTCCGTTCCTCAGCTTTTTAACATTGGTTTCTAAAATGCTTTCAATCTCTTTAATTTTTAAATTCGTCTCCTTGTACGCTCTTCATGTGAAATTTTTTTGCTATGAATTTGAAACACATTTTCTTAGCATCGGAATGTGAAACACAACATGAATGTCTGACATATCCGTAGGTAGCGTTAGCTTATAAGCAACAAGATCGATTATTTCAATAATTTTAAAAGGACCAATGTATATGGGACTCAGTTTTATTCCCTGACAAAATCTGGCAGTACCTTTTATTGGCCCGACTTTCAAAAATACGGCATCACCAATTTCAAATTCCACTACTTTGCTTTGGGTTATAATCTTTCTACTGTCGATCCTGATCAAATTTCAATTGGTCTTTGATTAACTTGATTTTATCTGTAGCTTTATCAACAAAATCAAGTCCTCGCATTTGACGTTCACTCACTTCGACTCAGCTCAATGAAATTCTTGATTTCATGGCATACAGTGCTTCATAAGGAGCCATTTTGATATTATACTTATAATTATTGTTGTAGGGATCATTGGAATGTGATTTTCCCAACTACCTCCAAAGTCGACAACACAAAGCCACAACAAATCTTCCAATACCTTAATTGTTCCTTCTGATTGTTTGTTGGTTCGTGGATAAAATGCTATGCTGAAATGCAACAGTGTATCCAAATTTTGTTGAATTTCTTTTCACAACCGAGACGTGAATCTTCCATTTCTGTCAGAAACGCTGATGTTTGAAATTCCGTGCAATCTGATAATTTTTTTAATATATAATCTGATCAACTTTTTAACTGAATATGTTTGCTTGATTAACAAAAAATGAGCTGACTTTGTTAGTCTATCAATAATGACCCAAAATGCTGTTGTGACCCTTTATGGATTTAGAAAATTGCATAACATAAATCTATAGCAATCCCTTCTCATTTTCATTCAGGTATCAACAATGATTGTGATGATTTATTGGGTTTCTAATAATCAATATTCATAATTTGACATGCCTGACATTGAGATACAAATCCAACAATATTTTTCTTCATACCTAGCTACCAGAATATCAATTTCAAATCCTTATATATTTTAGTGCTGCTTGGATGAATTATGTAGTCTGAATGATTTGCTTCATATAAGATTTTATGTCTTGACTCAGAATCAACAGATACCCATAACTGCAGCTTATTTCTGATTACACCACATTATTTCAGAAGATTCAGATATTTGTTGCTAACTCTCTGAGCTGCTTTGATTCTATCTATTAAAGTTGGCTGCACCGTCAGCTGATTAAATATCCCATATCACCTGGTTTTCTAATTTCCAGTTGCAAGACATCAATTTCTTTTATCAACTAGCTCTTGAGTAATAGTTTAGCTTGCATTACCTGTGGAATTATGGCTC